ACACACAGGCAGAAAGTCTCGGGGCTAACAAAAAGCCAACCCCAGCCCTCCGCCTCTCACCCGGAGCAACTCCAGCAAAGTAGAGTGTCCAACCCCTCTCCAGGTCTCGGGTTCCAGAGCCAATGCAATGTGTCGAGGTGAGTCCGACTATATCTAGCCGGTACCGCTCAACCTCTCCCACAAGCTCCGGCTCCTTCCCCGCCAGCGAGGTGACGTTCCATGTCCCAAAAACTAGTTTTCTTGTCCGGGGATTGGACCGCCAAGGCTCCCGCCTTGGTCTGCCACCCGATTCGCATTGCACCGGACCCTTCATGTTCCTCCTGCAGGTGGTGGGTCCACAGTTGGACGAGCCCATGTATCCGGTTCGGGCTGGGCCCGGCCGGGCCCCATGGGCGAAAGCCCGGCCACCAGGCGCTCGCTCACGGGCCCCAACCCCAGGCCTGGCTCCAGGGTGGGACCCCGGTAGCCCTCCGGGCCGGGTACTCCGACTCTTCGTTTTAACCGCCATGAAAGATCCTTCGAACCGTTCTTTGTCTCACCCTTCACCTAAGACCAATTTGTCATGGGAGACCCTACCAGGGGCACCAAGTGCCCCAGACAACATAGCTCCTAGGATCATTAGGGCACTCAAACTCCTCCACCACGATAAGGTGACGGTTCAAGGAAATGTATTTGGTTGATTTAAATCCCAACGAACATGGAGAAGAAAATGAAAGAGAAAGGAAAGGAACGGGGGCAGGTGTTCACAAACAATGAAGGATGCACAAAAATCTGCTTCTAGACCTGCAGAAAGAGGGAGAGAGAAAAAAGGGCACACTTAAAAAAATACAGCAGAACTAAAATATCACTGTGCCAACAATATGAGACTATACAACAGTAACAATTTTGGCATAGACCATTTAGTGCCATCCACAGCCTTAGGCCAACAAAGCCCGTGGGTCCAGACCCCACCAGACAGCTACTGGGAGCAAGTCGGCAGATGCCAAAAAATTCCAGCCCCAGACACGAGGACTGCAAATATGCATTGTCCAAAAAAAAGCAGGGCCAAAACCATCATATTTAAAGCCACAAACATGAGTAAGAAATTCTATAATTATTTTTTTCTACTTCTCTAAAATGGCCTAGCATAAACAAAAGCTGAACATAATAATGTTAAAATTGTGTTGATCGACATGAACAGCCTGCTGCAGAGACAACATTCAATCTGTTTTAGGAATACAACTGGAGGCCTCACAAAATCAGTCTGAGATATATACTACTAGATACAGTTTGGCTTTTACCTGAGTTCTAACCAGTTCCAGAGCAGTTTAGAACAGTTTAGTGGTATGATAACTAGGGAGGTCCTGTTCCGATATTGATATCGGATATCAGCCCCAAAACACTGTGTCGGATTATATCAGACTGCATCAAAAATCTCTATTCTCCATCAAGTCTAGAATCTCTAATTCTAACCAGCAGTGCCCAGATCCAGCATGCAAAGTCCATGTGATCAGAACAGTGTATGCTAGCAAAGTAGCAAGGAACAATGTTGGCCATGTGGTTGTATTTTCTGTTAAAGTCCGAAAAAGACAGTTTGGCTCAGTGCAGCACTTGTCATGCACAAGTTTTCTGTGGTGGAACAGAACCGGGGAAGATTAATACATCCAACCTCATCGTGCATTTGAAGCAAGATCACAAAATATTGCATGAGGATTTTTGCAGTATATAAACTTTAAACTTTAGACATTCAACTTGTAGCAGTTGGTCAATAAACAATATTGCGTTTTTTTCTTATGTCCCATCCCTCAGCAGTTTACATTTTTGCAACCAAAGGTTAATAAAAAATTGGTCAGTTTTTTTATGCTTAATATTGCTGGCTTTTGTTTTCTGTTTGAGTAATATCACTTGTAAAGAATGGGCCGTTTTACATCTTTCTTATGAAACATAAAATGTGAGATTCCATAGAAATATGAAATATCAATCTGATGGATCTTTGAATATTTTAACCAGAAGATCAGAACTTTTTATTGCAGGGATTAAGTGACACTTCGTATTAACTCCAAGGAAAGAGAGAGTCGGGTTTAAAATAGTTAAGAAATTTATTCCTACACAATTTAACCAAGACTAACTTTAACACTCTGTGTACTGATGGAACTAAGGTGGGGTGAGACGGGAAATGAACAATGGTGTGTGTGTGGAATGTTATTCAGAACCAGCGGATCCGGAGAAGCATTTAGTTTCTGAGTGGGTGTGAATGTTTCGCTCTAAACTTTAGTTGGAGATTTATAACACACATGAGACGCCATCTGTCTGTCTACGTACCCCAGGGGAAGCCTCCAATTAGATCCAGAATGCCGAGGTCCTCGTGGACCCCCTTTGGTACCGAAAAGCAGCGGTGCCAACCAAACTAGTCTTGGAATGCTTCCAGGTCACGACAGGTCATCACTGGCATCTCCGAGACCCTGAAGGGGTCGTGAGGTTCAGCTTTTATTCTGAAGGAACCGTTGCGGTAATGTGTAACTTGCAACAGATTTTTTCCAGCTTGCCGATGTTCTTTTTGGCTGAAGAGGAAGTCCGGATGGCCTGTCGGAGACTTCTCTAGAACGCTTGGAACTAAAGAAAAGGTGGCGTGCAATAGTTCTTATAATTGTCATATTTTGGTTTACTGGCGAATCAGAATTTTACCTGCAAAAGAGGGTTTATACAGACACCACAGAAAACCACGCCTTGCGTCAGAAACGAAGGTTCTGATATGATCAGACAAAAGGAAATGTGTCGTGTGACTTTAGCATTACGTGTCATCAGTGTCTAGTGCAAATGTCCAAGATTATAATAACATGTAAAATACTACTGATCACAGAATTATAATATCAAGTAATAACATTGCCATTTCAGAATGATTGAACATTGGGCTCACATTATTATTGGTAATAAAGTTGTCTGATTATGTATTTATCAAAATAGTTCTTCGTCTTGAGCTGTAACAACGGTGAAGCAGTTCAGATGAGCAGAGTGCATGAAAGACCTTGGCCACTGTCTCATGTAGATTACCCTGTCAGAGACTTTATGTCTCTGCTCGAGCAGACACAGCAGATCATGACCTTTAGGTCAAATACAGGACATTCATGATGCTACATCACTTGAGCAAGCCTTTTATACATTTCACACTTTGAAATAGGTAACAGTATGTATGATTTGTGCTGATATCATATCGGATTGATATCGGTATTGGTCAATACTGAAGGCTACAAAATCGGTATCGTATCGGAAGTGAAAAAAGTTGTATCGGGACATCCCTAATGATAACTGGAATTGAACACACATGGAACAATGTTGGCTTTGGGCTTAGGAGTCTGCTCTAGGGTTCGTGAGTTGCCGCTTCAAACCTCAGGCTCTTTACTCTTTTTGCGTGGTGTTCAGAAGGATGGCAGTGATGTACAGCAGCCTCACTTTTGTAGGTGTTCCCCAGGGCAGGGCAGGTGTGGCTGCAATCTAGATCTTTGCCATCAGTGTGTGAATAATTGTCCTCTGCCTTAGAAAAGTGCCATTTCTCAGGCATTCTCTGTTATTTTGTGCTTGGATTAAAAGTTTTAAACCATTGCAGGAAACTTTTATCTCACTGATCTTTTGTTTTAAGGACATTTGACAGTCTTATGTAACAGGAGCTAGGTAATACCTCTTGCATATTGTCTTGTGATAATGATCATCATTTTTACTTGCTCTATAAAATTGCGTCCATCCTGTGTATGAAAGTAAGAATTAAACCTGCAGATCCTATCAGACCCCTTGTTATTCCTGTTGTCTTTAGCATGGTTGAGACAAGTGAAATTGTCAGTTTTAACAGGATGGATGTCCCGAGTTGTCAGCTGACAGCGCGATAGACAGGGCAATTCAATTCCTGGGGGACAACAGCAGCTAACAGGAGGAGAATGGGCAGTAGCTTGGGCTAGAGGTCACAGCCAGTCGTTGCTGTCCGGTCACTCAGGATGGGCCCCCAAATCATGTTGTCAATGTTGATGCATCGAGATCTCCCCCTGGCAAAAATTGGATGCTCCAAACTCAGCTTGATTGATGCATAGAGCAGGTTGTGTCTGCCTGTATTCAGCTCGTGTCCTTACCCTCTGTTAACAGTTTAGCAGCACAAACACTCGGCAGTGAAAAGGGTGAGATGTACTTTTCAAAGTTGTATTTTGTGTGTGTGTGTGTGTGTGTGTGTGTGTGTGTGTGTGTGTGTGTGTGGTAGATAGATGAACATTGCCACGCTGTTTTCTTATCAAAACATCCACTGTGTCTGTTAACCTTGAAATTTATAGGATTTTAACCGGCTTTTCATTTTTCTCAGTACATCCTTAGTAGCATGGTTCAATCAGTGCTCAGAGATTGTTCTCTCTGTTTTCATTGAGGCTAAAAGACTACATCATGGCCTTAAGGCGAATGCACAGTTTGTACATTCAGAGGATGCCACAATGGATTTGAATGAAAAATATCTTTTCTTTCTCTGTGACCAAAAGCGAAGGCTTTTATTTTTATTTTATTTTTTTACCTCCAAGGGCATGGCATTCTTGAGCCTTGGGTACTAACCGTGAGTTTTGTGAACATGAAATATCTTCTTTTATCTGTCATTTTTTCATTATGTCTCTTTCTTTTTCTGCCTTCCTCCAATGGTTTCCTTGATAGTTTTGTCTGGTCTGGGTTGCTCTCTTTGTGTCTGCGTGTGAGCGTGCATGCATGCGCGTATGTGTGTGTGTGTGTGTGCGCGCACGCACATGTGAATAAATTAACACAAATGGTTAATTTTCTCTCTGTACATCTGCTTCATGCAGCCTGGTATAAAAATTTCACCTGAGGATTTTCGGATGAAGCCCAATATTAAAAAGTTGTGATTTACTTTCTTTGCCTCTCTACTTAGAACTCAATTTAATATTTTCAAATTACAAAATCGATAAGAGAGAAACCAACAGTAACAACTTTGTCCTCTTTTTTTCCTCCCTTTCTTTTTTTTTCTTTGTCTGTATTTGCAGGGCCTGTTCATCTTTCTGATATATGGGGTGTACAACACAGAGGTAAGTCTGCATTGTGTCTCAAGGCTGTCGGGGTGAATGAGAGAAATGACAAGTTTCTGATGGGCTTCTTGCTTAAAAGCTGTGTGGGCGGGGTGTGACAGAGTGTGTATGCATGTGAGTGTGTGAGCTGAGGGAGGGGAGGGGGACATCGTTTCCACGAGAGCGTCCCACTGCCCTTCATGCTTGGACTAACTTATATGCATCCGAGTCCGACCATTTAACACTGACACGCTGCGGCTCTCAGCCACTCATTCCTCACCCACATCGGCTAATATTTCACTGCCTCTTTAAGTTTTTTAACTCACGGCCCTCCATTTAGCATCCTGACAAAAGCTGCTGGCCAGGGCTCCAAGCGGTAAAACAAAAACAAAATGCAACAGAAGGAGTGGGGAAATATAATATTGAGATGCTATTACCATTTAAATGGGTCATAGCTGTGTGTGGTGGGGGGTTTGAGACAGATTTAATTCCTTGGATTTACGTCTCTTGGTGAAATGTAGCTGTGTGCAGAAGGATAACTTTTAGTGTAAAACTGCAAATATAAGTCTAGCTTCGCATCTTGAATCAACAATTCAAAGTAAGTTTGAAAATGAATGCAATAAAACAAAGTTGTAAGTCTACGCTGCGTCTAGTCTAGTCCACATAAGTCCAACTAGGCTTTATGATGAATAAATGCTTTATTTGTCTTTTGTTGTGGATACAACGTCATGCGCAACATAGTTTGACTTTGCTTCTAATGTCATCATTGCCTCTGCGCATTTGGTCATCTAAGATTATGGTTCACTCATTCAACTTTTCAATTTCACCATGTTTTCTTTCTTTTCTGCATTCATGTCTTGGAGCATGAATAGTTGCCCCTGAGTTACAGGTGGAGTGCTGAAAATGCAGACCCATGCAAGGCTGACTTTTTTTTGTTGTGAAAACATTTACATACGTTCTTACTGGTGTTTTTTTTTTTTTTTTTTTTGTTCTTCGAGATGTTTTTTAATACCAAAGTTGTTGTTGATCTGGAGGTGCTGGAGTCTCGTGTTCATGTTTTATGTTTCAAAAGAACAAAACTTGTGAATTGAAACAGAAGAAAAACCTGTTGTAATGCTAATATTTGTTCGTCCAGAAATCCAGACAAACTTTAGCAGGGCAGCCATCTCTCATGCGTTGAGCGTGAGACACGCATTTGACCCTCTTCACATTATCTCGCGCCACACTTCCAATATATCACGCTGAAGAATCCCACCCCCCTCCGCTCTCACGCATTAAAAACTTGAAAAGTTGGCAGCTCTGCTTTAGCCGACACAAAATAGTTTGCTCTGCCGATTGGTCTAGCAACACGCCGTTGTAGCCTCCGTAGGTTTGCCATTGGCTCGGTTAAGTGTAGGCCGGGCCAATCACAGCGCTCTGTTTGTTGAAAGACACTCCCCAGGTGACGGACAAGTTCAAAGGCAAAACGTCTCTGTCAATTTGTGTATGTGTCTCTCCCTCGGGGAGCTGATTCAGAAGCATAAATAGGCTCAAAGGCTCAGGAACTCTTTGCAGCTGTTTTGGTTTCGTAGCTACTCATCTCAGTCTGTCTTCTAGACTACCTTCACCTGTCTGTGTCACTCTGCTTGTCTCTTGTTTTACATGTTTGACCAAAGTGCACCAGAACTCATCTTTCATAAAAAGGTGCATAAATCCCAAATAAAAAATAAATTAGTACCAATGAGAAGCCAAAATGAGACATGGACGTTACTAACCATTGAACTGCAACTCGTGTCAGATCACCACCTCATCCACAAAGCTATAAGGGTGAACTGTAACAGAAAGGAAGACTGCACAAATATGAAAACATTAATGGGTAAAATATTCTAGTGGACGAGATATGCTAAGCTCTGGAACTTTTTGCCCCTAGCATTTCCCCAGCTGTCTATGTTGAACAGAATTGCCAGCTGGCATGAAAGTTATGCTAAAATAACAAAAGTGGTTGGTTTCAGAACTTTGCTGTTAGCTGTTGCTTTGATATGCAAAAATACGGTGTTGAGATAGTTAGAACCCGCTCATTCATTGGGCTGGTTTCTGGGATAAATAATTGCAAAAGTATCGGCTACAACTCTCGCTATTACTGTTAAAATGCAATGTTTTAATTGCTAATTACTGAACAGCAGCTTCCCATTATTTATTGCAATTATCTTTTCCTTGGTGGTCACCTTGTAATTCTGTGCTTTGATGACCCTTTATTTCCATCAACTCCAAGGTTGCTGGCAGGTATTGTTGGACGCATTGCTTTTGTATGGAAATCGCTTTGCGTCCATTTACATGAGGAACTATGTTTTGCATCGTTTTAAAACCTTGAGTGCGTGCAAACCCCCTTAAACACATTACAATCATCTAAAACAAAGCCTTTCCCCTCATTGTCAAATGATTAATTAAGGTGTGTCGTGTAATTGCCTCAAGCTTGCTGGTGCTGATGGAATCCTTGTCTTATTTGCTCATTTAAATAAAGTTATACAGCGCTTTAACCAACACACGCATTGTGTTGAAGCGCTCCTTATGATGATGTCAAGATTAATTTCTGCAGTATGCAAAACACACACTGTGTGTGCTGTCTGTGAGAACAAGTGTCTGTGTGTGTGTTTGCTGCAATGTCATAATTCACAGCTCAGGGTAACTTAATGAAGCCATAAGCCGTAATGCATATTCACTAATGTTGTGGGCCGGGCTGCAGTGAGTGAGGTGCCCGGCCATTACAAATTTACAGTTGGTGCTGGTGAGATGCACACACACACACACACACACACACACACACACACACACACACACACACACACACACACACACACACACACACACACACACACACACACACACACAAGGGCGTGGGAATTGATACGTTTTTATCAATTTCAATGGCATTGTCGATTCTGTTTCTCCAGTTCCTTATTAAATTCCGAGTAGTTCAATAGGTGGCAAAAAAATTAATAGCACACGGTCCCCTGCATTATAACAGTCAATTCATTTATGATAAATAATCAGTTGTACCTGGTATCGGTTGGAAAGATCTTTCCAGATGTTCTCCTTTATGCTCGTTGAGAAGGCAGAGTCATCTTGATGTAGCTTTTGCAAGATGGAAAAAATTTCACCACGTCTGACTTTAGTTGCGGGAGTCTGCTAGTGTGGAGGTGTGTATGCAAGGCTAATGAGGCCAACATGATAGGCAGTTTTAGCTGATTAGTAACCTGCAGTATTAACAGGAGAGGTCGCGCAAACGTCACTGCTGCTGCTTCACTGAAATTTACTAGTCCAGAGTGGGTCAAAAACACGACATTGACTTTAAGTTGTCATGTATTTTGTGCACAAATACGTTTGCTTTTATTCTTTTTCACAAATGCTTTGATGAAGTATTTATTTTGCAAGTATTGCAAGTTTCCCAGTTGTCATCCTTTCTCGTAGAGTCCAACTCTCAATGGAAAACGATCTCGACTTACTGCCGGCAATACGGACCAAGCTCTGACACCAGTCATATAGAGATCTAACAGCCCTTATCAGAGGGCCTGGTACTCCATACTCCTGAAGTACCCCGCAAAAGGCCTTCCGAGGGATGCGGTCAAACACCTTCTCCAAATCCACAAAACACATGTAGATATGTTGGGCGAACTCCCACACACCCTCCAGGACCCCCTAAAGGGTATAGAGCAAATTTGACAAAATGCTCCTTGACACCTGTGGCTGTCACATAGTGCGACGAGTGCCAGCTGTGCCATGTTACCCACGTCTGTGGTTTCATCAACCATGACGGTGACAAAAGGGGCTCTTCTGATCTCTATTTTGATCTCATCTCCCATCACTTCAGCAATAGCATAAATGAGGTCATTTTGTATTCTGCCTGATGTCCCAGTAAAGACCCTGTTGGTGGTCAGGTGGTAATGCAAGTTGGCGTCATGTTCAGCAAGAAAAGATAAAAGCTCCACATTATTACCTCTATTTAATTACTGGGGTTTTCATCATGTCCCCTAAATGAAAGTTCCTGTCTACCCGAAAATATGACACAATCCATCAGCCTTTTAAATATCTCCCTATTTTTCTTCACCTTTTCATTGTGGAGCTCTGTGTCCCTGCGTGCCTGTTCACTGAGCTGCAGATCCACTCGGGGGTCCCCAAAGGTTTTTAAAAGCACCGTAGCTTGTAAGTGCCCAGCCGTGCTTTGGTGTCTCTTTGCTGCCTTGGTAAAACAACTTAAATAGGCAAATCCAGTAAAGCTCCAAATACCAAATCGAACTGATGCGAGCAACAGGCATTCCCTGCAGAATAACCTGCAGCGGTTCCCTGAAGCTGCTAGCCATGGGTACCGTTCATAGTTGCTTGCCTGAAAATGTCAAACAAATCCTTTCCCCTGCTGGGACAAGCCAGCTAGCATTGGAGTCGGACGACTTGTTCTCACAAGATCCATTTTTTCTTGAAATGTCCGTCTGGAAAATGATGTGGCAAGTAAATCTGCAACCAAGTCTGTCCCTTCTCCTCTTTCAGCCATCGTGTGTTAAAAAATACACTGATAGCTGTTTATAGGTACAAATATCTGCGTTTAGTTTAGATATTTTGCTTAATCCCGCTAGAAAAGTTCAAACTACTGCTTATCCAATCACAGAATGCATTCATGTCAACTTTTGCATGAGGCCAGCTAGCTGGCCTGAGCCACTCTGACTCGTGAGCTGATTGGCTATCGCAACTAGATTGTCTCTGTTCACTTACAGCGGACAGTGGGCTTCTCGATTGATTCTGTAGGCCTAGGGCAGAGATTATCTGCCTGAAAACACAAGCTAGCTTAAATCTGATTGGATAATACCCAACCTTGGTATTTTAACACTGGAAGCAGGGCAGCCAAGTGGGTATAATAGGATATAAAGAAAATAGACCACTGAAATGTTTCTATTTAAAATATTTACCAAAGAAAACAAATACATTTACGTTTTTGAGTAAGTTTAGGCCAGCAGAGGAGGCTTTGCTGGCCCTAACTGCCCACCTCTGTCTGTCTGTCTGTCTGTCTGTCTGTCTGTCTGTCTGTCTATCTATCTATCTATCTATCTATCTATCTATCTATCTATCTATCTATCTATCTATCTATCTATCTATCTATCTATCTATCTATCTATCTATCTATCTATCTATCTATCTATCTATCTATCTATCTATCTATCTATCATCTATCTGTCTGTCTGTCTGTCTGTCTGTCTGTCTGTCTGTCTGTCTGTCTGTCTATCTGTCTATCTATCTATCCATCTATCTATCTATCTATCTATCTATCTATCTATCTATCTATCTATCTATCTATCTATCTATCTATCTATCTATCTATCTATCTATCTATATATCTATCTATAATGGTTATTATTGCTACTGTTATTATTTTTATTATTTTTTTGTGTATGTAAATAACTTGAGGAACTAATATAGCACCTAAACCTAAAGTAACCATTTTGTGTGTCCCTGCGCATCACCCACACATGTTCTAGAGGAGTTTTGGCCACTCTTTGTTACAACATTGCCTCACCGTTTATTTTTATTCAGTTGTATCCAGGTCTGAACGTGAACGGGGCCAGTACACATCTCCCTTATATTTTGTTTCTGAGGTGTTCTGGTGTGGATTTGCTGTTGTGTGTGAGATCTTTGTCCTGTTGCATGGCCCAGTTGGACCAAGCTTTAGTCTCCACTGTTAAACAGAATTGTTGTTTATGATCAACTCAAAGTCTGCAAGGTCTTTCAATTTCTTTTCTTTCTTACTACCATCATACAGACTACCCCATATATTTCTTACATCAGTGCAACTCATGCTTGGTGTTGTATGTGCTAAATAAAATTGTGCGTGCACACTGTTTCATCTCGAGTGTAAAAATGTAATCTGTTCTGCTAGGGCGGTCCCTTCTCCTCCAATAGCTCCATTTGTTGGTCTCGGCTCTCAGTGTTGACAGATGATAGCTTGAAGTCGTCTCCTTAGTTTGCCGGTTCTACGTGTCACTTTCAAGTGCCATTAGCCACTGGGACATACGGGAACATGGTCAAAAAAACATTTTACACTGTTTTAGCTCCTGCATGTGAGTGTCTGCAAACTATAAACCTAATAATAAGCTGTTTCCCTTTAACTTTCAATCATACCTTTTCCGTGATGTACTTGCAGTTTATTTACAGTAAAATACATTTTTTATTTCATATAATGTGAGTTTTTTTCTCCCTTTTCTTTTCAGGTTCGGAGCACTGTTAACAGGATCAAGGAGAGGAGAAAAGCCCTTAATTTTTCTGTATGTAATTCATCATTTTCCTAATTTCCATGTGTATTTTGAGATTTGTGTGTGTGTGTGTGTGTGTGTGTGTGTACGTGCATGTGTGTGTGTGTGTGTGTGTGTGTGTGTGTGTGTTTAAGTATAAAACAATTCTGTGATCATCCAGTTTCCCTTACAGATTTGTTCTCCTGTGGGAGGAAAAATAATTGCTACACCACCCGTGCCAATGAAAGCTGAATCTGCAGCGTCTGATAGCCTCTTACTAGTTGACAGTCCAAGTTAGATGCCCTTATACATCAAACACAGACCCTCCATAATAGCCCCCACACCACTTCACCTTATTCTCGCTCTCCTCATTGCAACACCTTCATCCCAGCAATGTCAAGCTCTGCAGTGGGTTACAAGTTTCTAATCCAGGACAAGCCGTCCCCTGACATTAAAGTGTCAGACTAGTATTTATACCTCATTGGACACTGCTGTTTAGCAGAATTGTGGTCCACTGCAAGTGTGTGTGTGTGTGTGTGTGTGTGTGTGTGTGTGTGTGTGTGTGTGTGTGTGTGTGTGTGTGTGTGTGTGTGTGTGTGTGTGTGTGTGTGAGAGTGTGTGTGTGTGTGTGTAGGAAGATTATAGCTTACATGACACTTTATAAAAATACTGAAATGTGTAGCACGTGCAAACATGCAACAACACACAAACTGAGTTGTTAATCTTAGCATCTTGACAAATGCACACTCATCACTGTTCTGTTGAATGTGTCCTCAGCTCAGTCACATGCACACACATAAAAAGACCCTGTTCTGTCCCACCCTCTGGACTTTGACCCACACATTTGTACAGTAAGTCATCACAAAGCCATTTAGGGAAACAAGATTGATTTTTAAAATTCACAGTGCACCTAAAACTTCCATTTGACCCATTCTGCTCAGGGATCGATTCTGTGAGGGCAAATAAAACATATTTAGATGAGGCATCATGTGTGTGAGTATCTGTGTGAGAGGGGCTTTGGGGGTGTGGGGGGGGGGGGGGTGCTGTCAGGTGCAATCTGATGTATTGCCTCCTCTTGTTATCAGTGAGGGACCCCATCTAGTGTCATTTTTATGGCTTCTTCTCCCCTCCCGTGGTGGCAATTTTCCAATCTTACCAGGTTCCGCTGCCAGAATGAGCTTTTTTTAGCCATCACTGGTGCCTGATGGTTTTTAGCTAATGCTGCTTTGTGCAATAAATCCTGCTTGAAATACTGTATCTACCTGTCCCTCTTTTAAGATAGGAGACATTTGGCTCTAGATGACCGCACATGCCCCTATATATCCTCTTGTTGTAAAACATAGGATTGGGTGTTTTGTGCTTTCTGGTGTGGGGTAAAGAGGCTTTGACGATGACGCTGCATATGGGGTCATTTAAAGATGTATTGCACATGTCTGAGATAAAGAAGTTTGTATGCTGTGTATTTTGCCAGCGCAAGATTTAAACTATATAATTCACCAAAACTTCATTTTAGTGATTTAAAGTGGTTATTTAAATTAAAATAAAAAACATTTAAAAATTTTTTTCACCATCAACTCTGCAAGTAGTTGAAGTGGTCCTAGAATTTAAAACCAAATTTTGCTTGTCGTGGTTGAACATAGCATTTTGGGGTTTACTGTTGTAATGGCCTCCTGCGAATAGTTTGTTTATTTATTTATTTATTTAGAGAAACGCTTGTTTAACACATCATAAGCATAGACACTCTCTTAAATTTGCATGTCCCAACCCACTTTATTGTTAGCAACATATAAACGTTGGTCATGGTAATGCTAGTCACAGAAAAGCACTAGCCTGATAATTATAAGTGTTCTCCGCATCTAAATAATAGTGACACACATGCCCTTCAACAGTTGCCAAATACAAAAAGGAAAAAAAACATTACAAATCAAATGTAAAAATATAAACGCAAGGAAAACCATAAACACCAGTCAATTTTGGTGGCAATGTTAAATTAGTCAACAACGTAACTAACAACATTAAACAACGTACCCATTATGTTAAATGGCAAAAAGAAAGAAAACAGAACATATAAATGAGAATAAAATAAATACGATAACTACTTCCTGGTAGCGCTGGCCGCAGCCATCTTTAAATTTGGGATCTTGAGGTCATCTGAAACCTACAAGCTCGCAGCTCGGAATTCCAAGATTATTGCGTCATTTCCGGCTAACTTATTTCAGAAAAACAAGTTCAGAGGACAACTGGAATGCGCCAGTAGCCGAAGCTATTGCTAATGTCTGCCTGAGCTACTGCTAAAGCTAGCCTGAGGCTACTGCTAATGCTAGCCTGAGTTACTGCTAACATCTTTGTTGAACAAGAGGACAACAACAAAGAACAATGTTGGAGCACCATTCATGGTCCAGACTTGGAAATAATGCCAGATAGACCCAGAGCTTGCAGCTCTTGTTCGTCCACACCACCACTGCAACTATCACACATGATCTTTTTCGCAGTGTTTTCTCTCATTGTTTGACTCAGAGTAAATAAATTGCTATTTTGTGACCATTTAGAGAAGAAAATTGTTGCCATTTTTTTCTAACATTGTTAGGATTTCACCAGCATGCGATTGAGGTCTTGCATCTCCTGCAAGGAAATGAAAAACCCTTGAAAAGTATCAAAACATTTTGCTAACTTGCTTGGCGTGTGTCGCTAACATCCTGGCTTTTATTTCCCATTAAAAAAAATGTTTAGAAATTTTTTTGCGTGATAGTATCCTTCCGAGAATGAAAGAAAATTATATATTTTCTGTGTACATGAATGAATTTAACAATTTAACATATATATATACATATATATATATATATATATATATATATATATATATATATATATATATACACATTTTTTTATTGATATATTTTTTGTAGTGAGTGGCACAAGTAACCTTGACAACATCTCATATAAATTCCACCAACCCTAATCACAAACTGTCCCTTCTTTAATTTCCCACCACCAGTGACCTCTTTAGACCTCTTCCTTATTGTATTTCACACCACCAGCGTAGATTGCACACCCCGCTTTATTTATTTTTTTACCCCTACATTTGTATGGTTATATATGTACTCACACTCAAGCCCTTCTAGCCGTGTTGCCAGCCTGTTTGATACCATGTACCCCTTGACCCACCCTGACCCCCTCTCGCTCACACACAGCCAGATTGCTTTGAGAAATAAAGCTGTCAGTTGCAGAATCCATATAAAAAACACCCCTCCATCCACCCCTTCACCCCTTTCTCAGTACCTCAAATTCGTGACATCCCTGAAATATAGATATAAATGAGAAGTGGATTTTTTTTGCCAGAGCTTTGTGGTAGATCTAGGAAAATGGACCAAAAAAGTATTTAAATAAAAGCGACTGACCTGTAATGCGACTATCACTGACTTTGTTACCCAGATTATTTGAAATGTTGTTTTACTGCTGCGAAAACCAGCTGGAAATATTTATGTTCACCCGTTGCTGTGCACACGTTTGTCTTTGTAGTTTTGCTTTTTTTTCACGTGCACTGAGGCTGGATATGAACAAAAACACAAAGTGTGTGTTGCAGGTCCTGAGTGTTTGCCATGTGAAAATTTTCTGCCAGATAGAAGAAAATAAAAGAGGCCCTGGGGCCTGTTAACACCCCCAACCTGCCAGAGAATCGTGCAAACAAGTAGGTTTTGTATGATTGACATTTATTTGGGCTGCTTAGAACAAGGAGGTCTCTAAATTGATTTCACACGCCAACTGCTCGAGCTCCAACAGTAGATTTAATATTTTTATTTTCTGCAGGTAACTGCAATCAAGAGAAAAATGAAAAAAAAGACATTGATCAGAAAATAAAAATTCCAGATTTGCTTTCTGAGTTTAGGATTTTAATTTAATGAGCAGTTTTTGACGTGGACACAAATTAAATTATTTTCAATCACAAATTAAAAACATATTTGAAACATTGTGTGTGAACTATTATGGAATGGACACACAAGACTAGATTAATGCTTATATGATGAAGAAATCCTTAGTAATATTTTATTAGCAAACCTTTTCACACCAAATGACAACAATGTTTCGCTTTTTTCTAGAACTGTGCAAGCTCCCGACCGTCCAGCTCTGTTACCAACTCCCGACCTGCAAGTTTTCCACTCGGAACGAGCCGGAGCCAGGAGGAGGAGACCTACCCATGCGCCAACACACCAAGCCTCGGAAAAGAGGACGAGAGAAGCAGAGGTGAGCAGTCAGATTTGTAAGTCAGGGATTTGTTTGCAGTGTTGTTTTTTTGTCACATAGTCTTCAAAGAGATGAAAAACCACCAAATCTTTTAGCAAACATTAAAAAGGCTTGGAAATGGAGGAAATGTGTTGCTTTTCATTCTTTATAAAACTCTTAACTGCTTTTAAACTCTTTTTCTAAGTCTAGAAGACTTTTTTTTTTGCCAAGACTGCAGCTGTCCTGGCCAAAATGATAGTGAATGGAGATTTTTATCAGTTTTAGGGATTACTATAAACAAGTCTGCAAATTATATATAAAAAGTATTTTTAAATTTGTATGGAAGTCAGAATAATTGCAAAAGCGAATAAACCCCTCAAAAGTCACAATTTGCTTTGCTAAAAAGAGTTGTTTCCTTAAGGATTGATTGTGTTACTCCTACTTCACGCTGGGAACATCAGTAGTACGGAATGGCAGCGGAACGTCACTGCTTCAAATACAATTCATTATAGTCTATGGGGGTGATTCAAACCAGCCACGATGCGGACATTTTCAGGCATGTCCCAGAAGCGCTGCGCCGCAAAAAAAAGGAGTGGGTTCATTTTTTGTCGCAAGTTGCTTCTGGGACACATCAATTTCTGCAGTTAACATAGGGCTAGACAGGAAATCACACACAGTTTCAGTGTAAAATCTCTGGTAATTTCCAAAATAAAAGACTATTTAAGCGATGTGATTTCATATCTATGTAGATTACATCAAAACATATGACCTAACGGATTATTTACTCCCAGCATCTTTTGAGAAGAGCATGCATTTTTCATGGCTTTAATCCAGGCAGTGGAGAGGAACAGCATCATAAAGGACATCAAACATGATTTTTGGTTTAATGCGGATGGCATAAACGCACCGTGACCTTTGAAGTCTCGGGGGATTTTGTGATCTCGCGAGTCCAGCGAGGAGCACGGCGGAAACGCTGCTCCATGGCTGAGGGATTTGCATATGAGCAATTATCCTGATGTCTTTGATTTGTTTTTAGAGTTTCATCAGAATTCCTAAAAGTGGCTTTAACTCATCTCAGTATTTTATCTTGATAGCAGCTTACAATGACGCTGTCTGCCAAGTTTGTGTCTGAAATGTCACAAATTAGGATGATACAGATTTGAGAGGGTCAGAAAAATGGAGAGATGTTTCAGTAAATATGTGAGCTTCCCATCTCTTTTGTCATTCTGGAGCAGCATTGCTGCTTCAGTAGAACGTGGTGGCTGGCTGAGTGAAATTAGACATCAGAAGTCCCCTGTTAAACGTTAACACTATCCAGACTCCCTGACTTTGGTGCAGATTTCTGACCCATGCTGCACTCTGTAGAGTTCAGACTGATTTCATTGTGGTGAAGACCAGTGGTACCAGTTTCAAAGAGGTTTATCTCTGCTTTCATTTAGTAATTTAAAACCAGTCACTTGTATTTTAGAGCAGATGGTGCATGTAGAGAGCCACTTAGAATTTTCCAATATTCAGTTTTTGATGAAAACTCAGGAAACAAGTTTGTTTTTGTTTTGTTGATTCAGCTCTCTTTTAAAACTACATTTTTTATTTCAAAGCTAAATATTTACTTATTGAATGGAAAAGCCATGACATAATAATGTTTAAATTGAGTAACTCTGCTTGGAAAAGCAGCACCCAGACTTGTGTGTTACCTTTAGCTTCAAATCAAGTTATTTCTTATAAAATTAAAGGTCTCCTTCACTTCTTCTTTTTATTTTAGTTTTTTAAATGCATTTGCTCTGGTCGCTAGTATGAATGAATCCCTTGTAAGTTGTTTTCTGTGGATAAAAAAATCCAAAATGGTCCTATCTGAAGAAGTTGAAGGAGGCAGGTTTTAGAGTTTATCTCATTAATATTCATGATATGCAAACTTCTCACCTCTGATTGGCTAAAGGCAACGAGACTCTTCCTCAGCCTACGGTAGCTCTTCTTTCTTGAGTAAAAAAAATGCAACATTGATGTTTTATCTCCACAAATCCCAAAAGTGTCCCACCATGTTGTGGTGCTAATGGTTAGCTTCTACTAGCGAAGCCCCACTCTGCTCTCTCCTGGCCTTAAAATCAAAACAGCCTTCTTTGGTCTCTTGTCAGGGTGAGTGAGCCCATGGATGTACACCTGATTGTTTTAAGTAAAGCAAGTAAGTAAAGTTTATTTATGTAGCACTTATCAGAAAAGGAAAAATCCCAAAGAGCTTCCCAAAGATCAACAAAACAAATCAGAAAGTCATAAATCACCCTAAAAACAAAATATCATAATACAAATGTAAGATAATTATAAAAAAAATGTCAGATGAATTTTTTTTTGCATAAAGCAGATTTAAATAAAAGGACCATAAAAAACAGGATAAAAAATCCATGCTTTCGTTCTTTTTTAAACACAGAAACAGTTTTGTTTACCTGTTTGTAGCTACAGTTTCGCTGACGGCTGCCGGCTTCTTCAGGCTGACGCTGAGGGTGGCGCGTCACTTCCTTCTCCGTTTATCTGCGGGCAGCAGAGGACGTTGTCGCCCTCTACTGCCCGCTCTCTCCCCTCTCCGACGACATACTCATCTCACATGACGTCACACCTCTGTTCACAAAAACACCAACCCAAAAAACCATAGACATAGTAGTTAACAGAATCAGACAAGACAAAACTTTACACAAAAGGACAAACCTCACAGCAGATGACATAGCACAACTGATAGGACTGGTAGCTAACTCCACTTACTTCACATACGATAACACAATATACAAACAACTGGAAGGCTTCGCCATGGGTAACCCGTTATCAGCCACCCTGTGTGAGTTTTTCATGGAAGACCTGGAACAAAAAGCCATAGCCACCGCCCCCCCAAACTGCAAAATAAAACTATAGAAACGCTACGTGGATGACATACTGGAAATCATACCAAAAGGTCAAACAGAAACACTAACACAACACTTAAACAATATTGACGACACGGGCAACATAAAATTCACTTATGAGTTAGAAACAGAAGGCAGCATAGCATTTATGGATATGAAAATCACCAGGCAGACCGACGGGACCCTAAACATAAACACATACAGGAAACCAACACACACAGACCAATATTTATTATGGACATCAGAACACCCCACCATACACAAAATGTCAGTAATCAGAACATTATATCACCGAGCAAACATAATAACAGAAGAGAGAGACCGTAAACAAGAGGACAAACACATACAATACGCTTTAAAGACCTGCGCATACCCGACATGGGCAATAAACAAAGGAAAACAACAAACAAAAACAGAAAGCAAAGAACAACCCAAAAAAAGAACCAGAAACCCAGAAAGACAAGAACCAAAACCAGTGATAACCCTACCATACATCAGAGGCATAATGGAAAAAATAAGAGCAACAATAAAAAAACACAACATAAACACACCAACAAAACCATACACAACAGTTAGAAACAGACTAGTACACCCAAAAGACAAAATATCAGCTGGACAAAAATGTGGAGTCATCTACGAAATCCCATGCAAAATATGCAATAAAACATACATAGGAGAAACCGGACGCCAACTCAACACACGGACAATAGAACACAGAAAGGAGTGCGAGAAAGAGGCAAATCGTAAACACACAAGAGCAGCAAAAGAAGAAGCAGAAAGTACAATAAAAAAGTCAGCCGTAACAGATCATTGCTTAAGAGAAAACCATATAATGGAATGGGACAGCACACGGATCATAACCACCGAACAACAAAAATACAAAAGATGGATCAAGGAAGCAATCGAGATTAGGAGACGTGGATGTGGGACCATGAACAGGGACGACGGAGTTTACACGCTGGACCACGCATGGGACTGCATCGTTGTTGTGTATGGTTTTGTTGGTGTGTTTATGTTGTGTTTTTTTATTGTTGCTCTTATTTTTTCCATTATGCCTCTGATGTATGGTAGGGTTATCACTGGTTTTGGTTCTTGTCTTTCTGGGTTTCTGGTTCTTTTTTTGGGTTGTTCTTTGCTTTCTGTTTTTGTTTGTTGTTTTCCTTTGTTTATTGCCCATGTCGGGTATGCGCAGGTCTTTAAAGCGTATTGTATGTGTTTGTCCTCTTGTTTACGGTCTCTCTCTTCTGTTATTATGTTTGCTCGGTGATATAATGTTCTGATTACTGACATTTTGTGTATGGTGGGGTGTTCTGATGTCCATAATAAATATTGGTCTGTGTGTGTTGGTTTCCTGTATGTGTTTATGTTTAGGGTCCCGTCGGTCTGCCTGGTGATTTTCATATCCATAAATGCTATGCTGCCTTCTGTTTCTAACTCATAAGTGAATTTTATGTTGCCCGTGTCGTCAATATTGTTTAAGTGTTGTGTTAGTGTTTCTGTTTGACCTTTTGGTATGATTTCCAGTATGTCATCCACGTAGCGTTTCTATAGTTTTATTTTGCAGTTTGGGGGGGCGGTGGCTATGGCTTTTTGTTCCAGGTCTTCCATGAAAAACTCACACAGGGTGGCTGATAACGGGTTACCCATGGCGAAGCCTTCCAGTTGTTTGTATATTGTGTTATCGTATGTGAAGTAAGTGGAGTTAGCTACCAGTCCTATCAGTTGTGCTATGTCATCTGCTGTGAGGTTTGTCCTTTTGTGTAAAGTTTTGTCTTGTCTGATTCTGTTAACTACTATGTCTATGGTTTTTTGGGTTGGTGTTTTTGTGAACAGAGGTGTGACGTCATGTGAGATGAGTATGTCGTCGGAGAGGGGAGAGAGCGGGCAGTAGAGGGCGACAACGTCCTCTGCTGCCCGCAGATAAACGGAGAAGGAAGTGACGCGCCACCATCAGCGTCAGCCTGAAGAAGCCGGCAGCCGTCGGCGAAACTGTAGCTACAAACAGGTAAACAAAACTGTTTCTGTGTTTAAAAAAGAACGAAAGCATGGATTTAGAAAGACACAGCAAGAACACACCTAAGAGGATCAAAAATCAAAACCAAAAGGCACACTTGGTAGTTTTGCTTTGTTTTA